ATTTCGTGCGGCTACCACACGTACAGGTGGAGGAGCGGTAGTGGGTGCCAGGAAAAATGGTAATGGCACTTGCCACATCATTTAGAAGGGACTCATACGTAGTGGCTTTAACCACGGCTTCCTCAAAAGTAAGGGGATTCGCGGCTTTTACATGGAATCTTAGCGCGGGTTTTAATCTATCCTGGAATTCATCCAGTAGGCGCTCATTCTGTGCCTGCTTAGGCTGACCTCGAGTTACCTTCTTAACGATCTGCTTTATTCGGTCAGCAAACTCACGGGCACTTTCAGTCGGCCCCTGCTTACAATCGGAGAGTTGTTGCCTAGCCAAACTTCGAAATTGGGGCGACTCAAAATGCGTGCGAAGGTGGTCAACCACTTTTGCATAAGAATTTTTATCGATGTCTGACAGGTCATCGATGATGTCCCTGGCCCCTCCTTCCAAAAATCCAACCAAGGTGTTAATACGTAGCTGGTCCGGTAATGGGGGAGCGACCATGCGAACCACGTCCTCAAATTTTCGCAACCAGCTTCGAAGTCTTGATCGTCAGATCCGGAAAAGCATTTGATCGGTTTAGGTGTGAGCTGCCCGTAGGTCAGGCCACAGATGGGTGTAGATACAGGGTCACCCTCCATAGAAGGGTTTACCTGGGAATGGTTGGGAGTTGCCTGACTAGAAGTAGGAGTACTCAATACAGATGGCAAAGATTGGTGAGAAAGATTTTGTGAAGCCGGCGAACTCCGAATTGAACGCTGTGAACGAGTTATTGGCTGGACTAATGGTGAGATGTGCGCCGGGAGATTGTTCTCCTGAGAACACAACAGCAAAAGGGGCTGATAAGTGCCTCCGCCAGCTCTATATACTTGTTCAACTTTACACCCCCTATCAGCGTTTGTCATCGCAGCCGATGTTTCAATTTGCGTTGGGAACTGTTTTGAAAGCGCTTTGTTTGATTCCTGAAGCTTGGGAAAGCGCCAGAAAAAATCTGCGGCATTCGCGGTTTGAAACGATCATTGCGTTGATGCGTCAGCTTTTGCCGTCGCGAGATTGACTGCGCGATAAAGAGTTAGCGCCGACGCTTTGTGTCGGCGGAGTACTGTAGATGAGACTTTTCATGAGAGCATGATCAGATTCTAGCGAAGGAAAAACAAAGAAGGCTTCATATCGAATTCAAATTTGCCATACTCGGCTTGCAATTTTGGAGTAGAGAGAGTCGCAGTGGAGTCTCGAAGAAAGAAATCATGGCGGAGCTGCCGCTTTTAAGGAACCGACTGTCACAGTTAATTGAGTTTTCAAATATCTATAGTCGAATTTGGTACTCAGAAAAAAAAGAAGGGACGATTCTGAATGGGTTTTTACTCTAATTCCACTTGTTTACCTCTTCAGAAATTTTCCAAAAATCGATAATTTGTCCTTATGACTGTTTCCACCCGGGTGTATAAACATCATCTCACAACGAGAAATTCACCGACGAATACACCACTGCATTAAATGCAAGGGAAGCGGTAGAAATGAAAAGAGAACGAACAATGAGTGCGCCAGAAGTTGGCCAGACGACTGGCACTATTCACCTGATTTCATCAATCCGCTCGCCCCCCGGTAGAGGCCTATACCGGTCATCTCACGAGCTAATCCCGTGAGGTCCACTTCTAATAAGAGGAGATCAGGTCGGTGAATTGCGGGGTACCATGACGCCGCACTCGCTGCTACCAGTAAAGGATTGGATGTCCTCTTAGCATCCTCCCCTCTTAATCAACCAACAGGCCTCGAGAGCTCTCCGGTAAACCACAAAATTCCACGACAGCATAGAACAATAAACTTCATGTATAAGCACGACGATAAACAGACATAAGGCGCGAAGTACCATGAGCAGAACAAAGTCACATAGATCACAGAAGAGGTAGACAGATGGGGAGTGGATGTCCCGGTCATCCGACCGGTCGCAGGACGGTTCCGTCGGCAGAATCCTCGTTGTTCTCCTCGTCCTCGCTCCGCCCATTCGATCGTCTTCCAACCGTCCGTCATCTGGAAACATAATGCTAAGCGACCAGAATAAACATAAGGCGTCCATAGGTCTAGAATAAGCTGATGACCTAGGTAGATAACATAAAGAGAGAATAAATGTAAACAGACCATTATTTGAATACCCTAACCGTTACATCTCCCCCCTTTAGCGAAGTCCGTCCTCGGACTTAGAATTGAATAGGAGGTCGAAGGGAGTTATCGAAGAAATGAAGATCGGTTACTTAGGTGTCTGTCCCGACACCATCGGACCACTCTATTCCACACGGCTGCCCTTTGAAGGCAAGGTAGAAACCCTAAAATAAACATACCGTCCTTAGCACGGGAAAGCGCCACGTTGAGGCGTCTCGCGTCAGAAAAGAACGACGCCGCAGTGTTAGGCTCCATTTCGGTGCGTGTGGTGCACAAGATGACCACGGAGTTTTCTTTACCCTGTGCACTATCTACGGTGGATACCGTGACATCTGTCTGCTGTAAGATGCGCTCACACAAGAGCTTTTGGTCACGATAGAGACAGATTACCATGATTTGTGCTGGCGCAAAACCTTTAGCTAAAAGGTAGCGCACCAGTACGTGAGCTGCGGTAGCCTCTACGATATTGCTATGAGACCCAGTGACTGACTGCACCGAATACGATGGAATATTAATGAGTGCCACTGGTATGCGCGAGTTAGGCATTGTGACGCGTGACAACAATGCTTGGCGAAGAGATGTCACGCTGCCGCAACTAAGCGAACCGTCATAGAAGAGCTCAGAGTTGAGGTACATCATCTCTATGTGAGGACGGTAAACTGTCCGTAGATGACATATTGGTGTCCAAGCTGGATTCGTGACCAGATCGAGGACCGATCGAGAACTTACCGCAACTGCTAGTGGTACACTCTGAACACCTACGTACGGAGGTAGCTGTTTGCTATCTCCCGATGAGAGTAATGCGCGCGTTCCGGAAAGCGTGATATTAAGCGTCATTAGAGTCGCTTCTGGCACCATTGATGCCTCATCTAAAATGAACCGATACCACGAATTACCAATCGTGCGCCATAAACCTTTTTTACAAGTTAGGTTTAACGCGGTAGAGACCGTGCAAAGGTACACATTGGGTTTATATAATTTAATAAACTTACTAGTGAGTACCTTGAGGTCCCACGAAGTTCGTTCTTCTAAGAACAACAATCTTTTATGCTCTTTGTTTACCACGTTAATTTGGGTATTGGAGAACATAAACTCACGCAGCTGTTGACGCTGCTCGGAAAACCGTTTGAACCGTTTGTAGTCCTTATCGTCTAATAAATGACGGTGCGTACTATGGAAATTTTCCATGAGGGTATGCAGAGCAAACGGCGAATTGCTGCAGCGTACCCTGAGCGAGAATTTCACTTACATAACGCACAGCACGGATGTGTTCTGACTGAAGGTCAGCAATTTTGGCACCAATTACATCCAGTGCACTGTTTTGGACAGCTGTTACTAGAATGATCTGTTGCTGTTTGGCAGACTCTTCAGCCATAATCGCCGCACACACAGACTTACCTGCGCCATATGCACTATCCACAATTTGGATAGGATACTCTTTATTATACATGTTAATTGCATTGACCTGATCAGCATTGAGTTCTATTTGCGATCCTGCCACTGTGACAGTGATGGCATTATGATCCGGAAAATCATATCCGGTTACCTGTACATCTCCGGATAAGAGGACGCGGGCCGCCAACCAACCTACCGAGTTTATATTCATGTGTGGCATACATGAGTGCTCGAGTAGAGCAAGCACTGGATTGGCTCGCTCGTCCAGCGTATGCAGGACAGTACCTACTGCGATTCGTCCATTTCGCGACGAAATAAGATACGCTCGTAATCGAACACCATCAGACGTCTCGAGCCTAGCTGTGACATCGAGGTACTCCTCTTCCATCTCGAATGTCAATGATCTGTGCTCGCATCAGGTCGTTTTCGTATGCACCCTGAATGGGACGGCCAACAGCCCAACCAGTTTTCTTGCAAATAGGTATACGAAAAGTGACTATAATAGGGGAAACTGTTTATGTTAGGTGATGACCATACGGTGGAATGTACGGTGCTGTCAGTGGACTTCCGCAATGCATGCTGCGATAGTACCGCACGCTGTGCTATACAGGGGTGCAAGAAACGAACCAACCTGTTCTGGACGGTCACGGAACAGCTTAAAGTCGTGAAGTTTTGCATGCACGAGGTTTTGATGTTCCTTGCTGGTGAGCCGTATGTCGTATGGGGCTGGAGCTTGGCTCGGGAAGTATGGCACATCTACCATGTGAGATGCGAGCTCCTTCGACGTGGTGTTCCATGCACATGCAAATACCATGTAATCAAACTGACGCTCTCGGAACGGTGCAACAATAAAGGAGTTCTCCTTGATAGAAGGAGCGTCCCTTGCAGCTGCCAATCGGAAGCATGATGCCCTCACAATCTGCCGATGACCCTTGCATGCACAAATGGAACATATATGGTGACCGTTCGACTTTAGTAACAAACCCTAATGTCGGAGTGAGGTGTCGATGTATTAGTGCATACCGATGTACACGCCAGACATTCGGCTTACGATAAGCTATGGCATCACTCACCGTTTGCGGAAGCGGCATGTCCGACTTTTCGAATGTAACCGTTACAGATAGCTTGTAAACCCATATAAGATCGCCAATAATGAGTTTTGTCAGGGTAAGACCACTTTTACCTGTAACGATGTTAATTGCGAATGAATCCAATTGGATGGTATGTAAATCTAGTCGGTCTGGTAGAGCGACTTCAACATGTACGGTTTCAAGTTTCACCGTATTACCGAAGAAATTTTTGACACGATACAGAACTGGTGCTGTGTTACCATCAAGCACTAGTCCTTTAACATAGGCGTTCGATTCTTCGATAGAGCGAGCCGATTCTACGATTGGCATTTTCGGCAATGGTTGGCCCTGCCGCCTCTTTTCCAGGAGCTGAGAACAGTCGTTGTTTTCTCGGAAGGCTTCGATAGCCTTCGGACCGACCGCAGCTAAAATTGATGTTGCCTTCCTACCCTTGGTTGCTGGGTCGCACTGTGCTGGGAACAGCCCATAGACGAGACCGCTGTACCCTGAAATAGGTATTTTCTCGAAATCTGACTCACGTAAATCACTGTCGTAGTCGTCAGTCACGACAGGTGGAGTTTTACCGCGGAGTAAATGAGCCCATGGATGTTTTGTGAACTTTTCCAGAGACGTTTTACGTCTCTGCGGTGACGGCTCTTCCTTCCGCGAGTATGTTATTCTGGGAACATTTTCTCGCGAAGGACCGGCGATAGGGCTAGGTGGACGTAGCGAAGCCTCTTCCACCAAGGTGGTGAGTGCATCGGCTAGGCCTTCACCTGCCGCTGGTTCGCCTACTGTTTGATTACCTTCAGCGGATGCTACTACATCGTGATCGTTTTTGTTGGCCGATTCCGTTGCCTGAGCTTCGGTAATGGGCACTTCTGGAGACGGACTAACACTAGTTTCTGAGTCTTCAGACGAGGAGTCATCCGAAGTAGAGGATGAGTCCGAATCGGAAGAACTAGTAGTGTCACTCGATGAACTTTTGTTACTACGAGTTTGGGAGTATTTAGGTGCTGGTTCCTCTGATGAGGTAACGAGCGAAGGAAAAGACTCATCCATTTGCTCCGTAGCTGGTTCTGTTGGTGTTGTACACGGAGTGGACACGTCCATTTGTTCGTCCATAGAGGGCTCGACGTTTCTGACCTGCGCGTCTTCGGTGTTATTGACGGCTGTCGGTGGTTCTAAAAAAAGGGATTTTCTTTAAGAGCCGATTAATTTAGAAAAAAAAACGAAAAATATTATATTGAAATCGGATTAATCAGAATACCGTCGTCAGAAGGTTTGCTAAGTTCAGGTGAAGGTTCCTCGGTTGAGGTAACGTTCAGAGATTCTTCGTCACAAGGACGCTCAGGTGAAAGGTGGGGCGAATGCTCCATGATATCTAAGATAGATATGTTTAAAAAAAATAGCATTATTGAAAGAAAATGTCGACGGAACGATAGGCGGAAGAAGGGATAGAACGAGGATATTCAATGCGAAACGGGCGTGAAAACTTTCAAGAAAGGAGTGGATAGATGCATTCGATAGAACAGGTCATATAAGAATTGCAGCGAGTTATACTAGGTTCCAGGTGCTAGGTACGATGGAGCTTTTCGTGGCCGCAAGTTATAAGAGTGAGAGGGCTCGGTCCTCGGAGTTTCTTGTGCGTCCGCCGGACGTGAGGAGTGATCGTACCCAACGATAGGATCGATCGGTAAAGGGAGAAGCATGTCTTCTTCTTCCTCGAGGATCGTAGGGAGGGTAGAGGCAGGACCCGAACAGTCGAAAACCTTTTTAATTTGATTCATATGAACCCTACGCGGTTTTGATTGGGGTGAGGTTATACTGACGATGGTCGCATGCGGAGGATCGACTTTAAGGACTCGAAACTGCCCGATCCATGGAAAACAAAGTTTTCGTGCAAGGCCCTGTTTGTTTGTATAATTCTTGAAAAAGACTCTATCGCCAACTTGAATTTTTAGTGGTCGAGCCGTTTTGTCATAGCCACTCTTCATTCTAGTTTTATATTGTCGCGCGTATTCGGCGGCGTTAGACCACGCGAGCTGCAACGTTGAGACTAACTGGGCCTTATATTCGGCTGTCTCATTGAAAATCTGGTATTTGCGCCGGGGATTGCGGTTCTATTATACGGTCAATAGCGAATATAGGGTCTCGACCGAAAAGTAGAAAATATGGCGACTCGCCAGTAGCGTCGTTAATGGTGGTATTGTAGCAAAATGCCACGCACGGTAGAAAGAGGTCCCAGTCTTCCTTGTTTAATGTTTATAAATTTTGAGAGCATCGCTTCGAAAGTACGGAATGTTCTTTCGGTAGCCCCGTTTCCCATGGAATGATATGGGGTGGCAAGTTTATGCTGAATATGAAGCAGATTACAGAACTCTTGATAAAAATGAGATGTGAAACTAGAAGCCTGATCGGATATGAGTTCAGACATAGTACCGTATTTTAGAACACATTCTGTGAGAAGTGCGTGAGCAATAGTATTCGCGCGTGCGTCTTGTAGAGGCACTGAAATGACATATCTTGTGAACCAACAGATCATATTCAAGATATATCGGTTCCCTCTTTCGGTGACTTTGAGGGGTCCGCACAGGTCGAGTCCAACTTTGGCGAAAACTGCTTCGCTGTGCACCGGAATTAACCGTTCTTTGAAAGTGGGATTGGGTTGGCGCCGCATTTGACACGTTAGGCAGGCATTACACCATTTATGTACATCCGAGTATATAGATTGCCAGTAATATTTACGTAAAATCTTGGCCAATGTTTTTCGCCAACCCATGTGTCCTCCTGAGAGCGCGCTCGAGTGATATGCGCTAAATACCAATTGCTGTAAAGCCTGGGGGACAATTAGCAAAGATGGGGAAGGGCGGTCTGAACGCTGATAATATAGGCAACCGTTAGGCGCAATTGTAACCCTACTGGTAAAATCTATAAGGTTGGCCTTTTGTTGCTCCGGTAAAGAGAAAGCGGAAGATGGGTCGGTCTTAAGACGGAACACCGAATTCAGAAATGGGTCTTTGCGCTGTTCTTCCGCCATGTTGACGGAATGGTCCATCCCTTTCACAAAAGTTCGACACGGCATGGCCACGGCCGAAGTGGCGCCATGCGCGAGCTCAAAAGACATTGGCAAGCTAACGGGGAATTCAATAATGTCGTTAAGCTCGTCGCCTACGCCCGATGTGTCGTCTTTACCTTCACTTGCGCGAGAAAGAGCATCAGCTACCGTATTTTGCTTGCCCTTAATATGGACGACTTTAATATCGTAGCTTTGCAATTCAATCAACCATCGCGCGAGATTATCATGCGTTTTACTCTTATTAAGGAGAAAAGTTAATGGTTTGTGGTCGCTATGGAGCACGACTTTCGTCATACATATATAGGGTTTAAATTGCCGCAGGGCATAAATAATAGCCCCGAGTTCAATTTGTACTGCGGGCCACCTGCGTTCTGTCTCACTGAGGGTGCGGCTACAGTATGCCACTGCATAGAATCGGTTTTTGCCCTCGTCGAACTCTTGCATTAAGGCGCCTGCTTGTGCCACTGCACTGGCATCGGTGAAAATATGGAATTGCTTATCAACTACCTAGGGCACTGCGCGACAAGGTATAATTTCCTCTCCTTCATCCCTGACCTGTATCGGGGAAAATCCTGCCACTTTGGGGCTGTTGAAGAAAGAGCATTCGCTCAAAGGCAAAAGTCGGGCTCAATAAGGGGGTATTATGTCGATTGAAACAGAGTATAGAGATGCGAAGTGGAACGACAGTGGAGAAAAAACTGAGAAAACCGTCGACAAGGCCGTTAACAAAACCCTTTTCCCACTAGCAGTGAAGGAGGCTTGGGGAAGAGGCACGTACAAACAAGTTTTCTGGAGATGTCAGTCGTTCTATCGGTTGATACGGCAATCAACCTAGCTGTTTCACACGTTATGCCAGCCACGCACCACTTCCGGAGGTGGGCGGTCCTGGATTGACCAGGCGGCCCTGGATTGAAACCGAACGCCCCGGGGCTTAAAGGACGAATTCACGATGAAAAAGCAACCCATTTCAAATTAACCTAGGGATGGTGAGTGGTACACGAAAGAAGGAAGAACCATGAGAAACGGCCCAGAACCCGAGAAATGGTACCCCTTCCTTGCCCGTTGATTCGAGCATTGATGCGACTCTCATCGCTGTGCCCTCTTCAACACTACGCTCTCTCAGCTATCTAATCACTCGCCACGTATTGAACTACGGCGAGTGATCAGATGATCGGTGGGCGGAGATCGCCGGACCCGCCAGCTTTGAGGCATGATAGGTCGCCGAGGTCAAATTTTTCCATGCGAATTGCGCGTCAGTTCGCACCCTCAGGAGGTCCGTGGGTCCCTCAACTAGGTCAGTTTCCCTTTCTTCGACCTTCATTCTAATCGTGAATTCCTCCTTTAAAGGGGTTTTGCAAGGTGGGAAGTTGCTGCAGTGTGTGCAGCTACCCACATACAACCTACAGGCACGGGAGGGCATAATTTCTTAGCGTCGGGCCTATAGCCATACTAGTTTGCCTTTGAAAGTTAGCAATAAAGGTGTTACAGTATACAGTAACATAGGCATCTGCTTCTTGACGCTTCCACTTAGGAAAAGAAATCAGAAAAGTCGGCTATCGGTAAAGCCGATCTGATTATTATTGCGGCATAGGATAAACAATACCTTCATGGCTGAACCAATTACCTGCTGCTCTTGTGATAGGTACGTCGCATACGGTGACAACGGACATGATCTTGTAGGTCTTTTGGGTTGTTCGCTCTTTGTTGGTCTTGTCACTGCACCCTCAATGAAGGAATGAAATTCAGCTTGCAGCAAAATCGTCACGCAGCACTGCTTTATTATATGACACCATCCCTGGAAGTCATGTATAAATTCGGCTCTCGACTTTTCAAGAGGGCTGGTCAGGCACGAAGCGCTTGCTCACAAATGCCTTTTATTTTGTACTCGTCTTTTAAAGGCACGTTCCATATCAAAGTGGTGCGGTTTTTGCACATGAAAACGAATGTATTTTGTTGCAAATGAGCCGGTATTGAGAAAAAGAAAAGAATCCGTAGAAACGCTCCGCTCAAGGGCTCCGTCACCTCCGCAATGGGTTGTGCTGAAGCAATGAGAGACTACGCGCGGAGAGGAGAGTATGAGGCGAGGGAGAGAGCAACAGACGGAGAGCGCGAGACAACACCCGATAAAAGAAAAATCAGCTGCAGCAGCTTTGCAAGACCGTAGCGCTCTTCTTGGGCGATTTCCGTGCACATGCATGCACATGTGATTGTCCTCTGGGAGTCTATCATACAGATCAAAGATCGTTTGCATGAATTCTACCTGGAATGGGCCTTTGAAGATGCATGCTTGGACCGTTGGGAAGGGGCGAGAGAGGGATTTTCATTGATGGCATTGTTATTTGGAATTGCGAATGTATCATGATTAACGTCTCTGTGATTGTCAGAAATACCCTGGCATGGGCAGAGATATGCAACACTATAGTGCCCTCGAATCGTTCTTACCAGGAAGGTCTTTCAGAGGCATGACGAGCTTTTTGAAAACGGTCTTTTGCATGATATAGGGACCGCAGAACCATGTTTAATTTTTCCTGAACGGCCCTCTGAATTATTTTTTTTTTTTTTTTTTTTTGAATACCAGAAAGGGGGTCCCTAGTTCGATTCCTCTTGGTGACAAATTTTTGCATTTCGAGTTGACGTTCCAAAATTCGCGCAAAATGGAGTTCTGATTGTTCTGGTTGGTTCTAACTCCATTTTGCGCGAATTTTGGCACGTCAACTCGAAATGCAAAAATTTGTTACCACGAGGAATCGAACTAGGGACCTCCTTTTCTGGTATTCAGAGGGCCGTTCAGGAAAAATTGAACATGGTTCTGTGGTTCCCGCATCTGCCCCTATATCATGCAAAAGACCGTTTTCAAAAAGCTTCGTCACGCCCTGAAAGACCTTCCTGGTTAGAAGCCGCTCCTCCTCTCGGCTATCGCTCCCACTGCCTTCGAAAACATGCTCGCGAGGAAAGAGTTCAGAATAAGCGACTCTTTCTAGAGAAACGACGATGGGTTCAAAAAAGCGTGCAAAGTACGAACGAGGTAAAGTAGAGCAGTGAGAGGCAGGATGGAAGAATGAATTCGAACTTGTGGTTTGCTCTCAGTGACGCAGGACTTTTTGGGGTAACTGACCGCAATAGTCCTGCATCCCGAGTTAGTTCTTACCATTTTGTAGTGGGCGGGAAGTGTATAGTGGCAAGTTGCTCTGCTTTCCGACGGGTTTTGCGAGTCTGGGAATGCGAATTCTGAGTCTGCGTTTAATCCGGGCCAACCTCTGATTGTATAAGCCACGTCGCATTCAAACGCCACTACAAATG